GACAGCTTTGATTATGTAAGTTGATTTTAGTAGTTAAATGTTGACTTTCTATAATGCATTCTCCAAATATTATACTGAATGCTGCATCATATATAACAATTACCATGTCACAGTGCTATTTTGTGTAAATTAAATTATTGACAGCAATATAATTTTGTATTCACTTTATTATTTTGATTCATTTTTCTGTCAAAATATACAATGACTCTTCACTAGATTTAGAAACCAAAAAAACTCTTTAGATGGTGAAGTATTATTCTCCATACATTATTTTTCCTTAGCCTGTAATGAGGTTGGGGAGGAGAGAGAGAGAGAGAAGCAACATTTCATTCCTTCTCTGACATTATGTGTGTTTTCAGACATGTTGTCAACTTTAAATCATGTTACAATAAGGTGTGCATTCAGAAGGCCTGCAAAGTCCGGATCAGCTCTGGTCAGCCCCTTCAGGCACACAGCAGACTTGGTGGTTTTGGTGATGCTCCAACGCCAGTGCTGCCCTGAATCGCAAGATGGGTTTCATATTATGATGATTATTCAGCCTAGCTTTAAGGACAGTCCATTGTACATCACAGGGGGAATACTTCCCATTCTTTGATATTTCTTACAGATGAAAGAAAGTACAAAACATTACCTCTCTCCGCTGCTGCTCTTTCTTCACACCTTTTTCTTCTCAGGTTGTTTGAGTATTATGGCAACAGTGATCATCTCTTCTGGGATGCTTGGAAGGTTCTTGCTGGTTGTGGTTCTATCTATCTGTATTGCAGTACTTAGTTTTCTCATTAGCCCTGTCCAAATGCACAGCCTGTACATTTCTTATCACCTGCTTGAGGCTAGAATGTGGAAATCAAGACACCAGCTGCATATTCCTACTGGACCTTAGTTCTTCTCCAGGCAGGTACCCTCACCTGCCTGTGGAGCCAGTCCTGCTGGCTCACTTACTGTAAAGCTCAAAATCTGTGTCAGAGATCAAGGCAGAACATAGAGTGCCTGAAATTTGATTTTGGGTTCCATGCTATGAGATGGAATAAATGCTCTCAGATGTGTTCAGGCACAAAAAGGGGCTGAATCCAGCATGTAACATTGAGGGGGAGGGTGACAGGGTAGAAAAATTCCCTCAATTCTGAGTAGTGTTAAAAAGGTTCCGAAAAATGTTCATCTTCTCAGCTGTTCCAGATCAAGGAGGTTGGGGAAAGCCTATTCTGCAAATTTTGATGGTGTTTAGCTGTGGCTTAGATACTGACAAGCTTTAGTCATGTCTGTACCTGGTCAGTATTAAAAAGCCAAGGTACATTGGGTGCTGAGAATGCTGGAAGCAGTTTCCAGGGCCAGGGCCAGTGATCACTGACTTGTTGGTATCCCTACAGCTGTAGGCTAGCTCTTTCTTCAGCAGGGGTCTGCACCCCATCTAGTCCAATGTGAGCCCTAAACCTAAAGGTTATTTTTCAGATGCTCTTTGTGGTTGCCTTACTCAGCTGTGCTGAAAGTGTGAAGTTGAGGAGGTAGAGAAAAAAGCTTGCAAGTTGGTGAGGATGAGACAAGAGTTGAAAAGTAACAGGGGAAGGCTAAATCCTCTCTGAGTTCACTCTGGATTTAGCAGTGTTCTCCAAATACCTGGGAATTCAATTGTGTCTGCCAACATGTGGCTTACATGTACATATTTGCTTTCTATGGCAGTACAAGATTGCAAAAAACTTACCTCATACAGATGGAACATACCTAGTCTTTGCACTTGCATTTAATTCAATATGAAATGTTAATATATGTCTGCAGCATATGCTAAATTCTCCTTTGCTCCGTGTTAAGGGGCAGGAGCCCAAAGAGACACTCAGCAGTCTCTAGGACTTAGAGTAATGCTAAAACTCAATGACATCTTTTCAGTCTTCTTCACCATGCTTAGATTCCACATGGTGTGGCACGTTCAAGATCTGTAGGGTGGTGGTAGTAGCAGCATGAAGCTGGAAAAGGGTCTGTTTGCTTGAGGACTACCTGTTTCTCTATTAGATAGTCTGAGAAAAAAATGTTGCAACTCTGCCAAGTTTACCCTCCTAAAGTATTGCTGTGGATGCATTTTTTGTTGGCAAACAGAATGTATTAACAATTATTGCAAAGACAAACTTGGAGCTCCGTGTTAGCATGATGGTCTGTGTTAGCTGACTTACTGAGGACTTCCAGAAAGTCCTCAATGGATGGAAGAATCATTTCCTTCCAGCTTCTTCTCTTGACTAATTTAATTTAGCAGCCTTTCTACCTTCGATTTTTTAACTTGCAACTAAAGATCTTTTCCCTACATCTTTCTGCACACAATTTATCATATCTTTCTTTGTATGAAGCAGTTTCACACACGAATGCATGTACAGCAGAATGGTTTTACTAGAACCTGCTTCTCTTCAGAGGAGACAAATATACTTGGGTCTCCTTCTGGCACAGGCTCAAAATGCTAAGCTATAATGCTGAATTTCTCATTTGGCCTCCTTTCTTGTTTGTTGTTAACTCCAATGTGGGAGTTGATCATATAAACACAGAAATACAGAGTACAGGGGGGAATACATTCTGTTTTGTCCTCTTCGTATAACTCTGGATCTTGTTGGCTATGCTAATGCATTGCTTGCAACAGGTTAAATAACCGTGGTGATGAGGAACAGGTGGTGATGAGGAGTTAATGTGAGAGGACATGGAGAAATCACACTGCACGATAGGAAGTTGTTCCTCCCAGCGTTTTTCTGTGCTAGCCTATTCAAAGTGAGGCTCTGTAACTGTATCTGTGACTGCACTAGAACATGCAACAGCATTGAGTTCAAGTGCTAAACAAGTATATATCCTGTTTCAGCTAATTCTAGCATCTGAGATTCTAGGTGGCAGTCATTCCCCTCGATGTGCGAGTGCCCAAACACTGTGATGAAGAGTTAGGCCTTGATAGGACGCCGTGCTACTAAGCTGGAAAGAGGAATTTTGCACAAAAGGATTTAAAGCTAAAACAGAGCAAACAAAAAGCCCATAGCTAGTCAAGGTATCCTGAGAGTTGGGAAAGACAAACCTGCTGGGCAGGTATTCCCTAATAATGTAATTTTGACATTACTAGCCTGCCTCGATATATCCTCTATTTGTTCAAAGAAAATCATCTGCTCCTCTCAGTTATTTCAAAGTAAAGTCACAAGAATAGCTTGTTCCCACTCTATTCCAAATATAGCTGTTGGCAGCGATTGCTGAGATAAGGGGGAAGGAAAAGGAACTACCAAGGAAGAGGAAAGACAGGAGGGGGAAGAGAGAAAAGGAGCTGAAAAGGTTGGACAACAGAGAGTAAAGAGAGACGTGAATGAGAGGAGAGGTGAAAGAGTATGGACAGTACATCTCAGCAGAGAAAATAAATCAGAGAGTAAAATAAACTCCAGCAAAAGAGGTGGGAGCAACCCAAATACAGAATAAAGAAAGACTGTGCCCACCCCGAAGAGCTGTTTGAGTTTCAGCCTTGAAAAGTAACCAAACCTTAAATAAAACCATGCCCAATTTTGACTTGCACTCAGATTGTAAGGGTTAGAGCATCAGAAAACTTATGCTAATTTGCACTGCTTGAAGATCTGGTCCTAGAAATTTTAAAGCAAAACAAGTTGCTTATTTTAATCTCTTGTGGGATTTTTTAAAAATTGTCTGCTCCAAAAAAACTTTGTTGGCAGTTTCAGAGAGAAAGCCATCCACTGAGTAAATTTGCTGGCACTGAACATCAATGCTCTTCTCAGAAGTCTGCAGTCAGGATGGTCTTCTGGTGAGACTTGAGCATCTAGGCATGCCCTCGGGAGCAGGAAACAGATGATGATAAAAACTCAGGAAAAGTCAGAACCACCCTCAGACTGATTTACCCAGAGCAAAGAGATGAGGGGTTTCGAGGCTCACGGCAGACTGGTTTAAGACTAAGGCAACAAAGACGTGAGAATAAATGGAAACAGGTTGTGAAGGGCAAACACAAAGGAGTCCTTGGCAATCCAGAAATCCAGTGAATGGCTCTAGCTTCCCTGGAGGGTTGGGAAGTTTCTGAGAAACATTCCCCAGAGCTGCTCTGCTTCTCTTCTCAGAAGACAGGTTGGAAAACGGTGCTAGAGTTCCTTCTCTCCTGCTTTACTGAAAAGAGATGTGATATATGACCTTACTCTTCAGCTGAGATTAAGGAGACTTACCCAGTTCCATTTCCTATAAACTGGGTTTATCTGGAAAGCCTGGACAAGCTTTCTGAGTGCTCAAATGCAAGGTGATGGGACCACCAGAGCTGAAAGTGTGACACTTGCTATACTTCTTTTATTTCAGTCCTTCAAGGAAGAAGGCTGCTTGCACTGTTAAGGGATGTGCTCTATCACCCTCACGCTGGACTGAAGGACTGGTGCGGCTATTAACAAGAGATATTTACACAAAATACAGGAGGCACATTAGAGCAGGAAATACAAGAGTAAATGAAGCTGCTTTTGGAAGATGGGACTAAAAAGCAGAGCTTAGCAGTCAGACTATTGCTATTCAGAGACAAAGTCATCATTATTTTGAGAGTCTTGTCAAGTGGATGGTATGTTGTATTAGCTATATCTGTCTTCCCTGTTATGAGATGCAACTTATTTTGTTGTTGTTTTCAAGGCAAGCATCATACAGAGCTGTTATTTTACCCACTCAGCTTGTACACATGAGTAGGAGCAGCCATCTTTGGACCCAGAGCAATGTGCAGTTTGCAGACAACCTGGGAAACTTCTGGGCTGGGTGGCATGGTTGGTGTTGGGCTCCTGGGCAGTGAGAGATCCTGCAGGTAGCAGTGAGTGCTCCCAGCCCCACGGGACAGGCTGTGGAGGACAGCTAGGTTGGGTTGCCCGCTCTGTGACGTGTTCCTCTCTAGGGCACTTGGTATCTGACCCTAATTCTATGGGGAGAGAGAGGTTGTAACCTGTGGGATTGCAACTATCAGGCAGCCCTGCTGCCCTGACAGTGGGATCTGTGACCCACCCACGCTGTGTTTTGTGTCTCCACAGACAACACATCCGCGGTGCAAAGCTTTGGAGAGGCGTTTCACGGCGGAACACCATGAGCGTTGACCTAAGACGCCGCTTTCTGCTCCGCAGGCCGAGTCCTCCGGAACTCCGGCTTGCCTGCTCCCAGGAGAGGGCAGTGGAGCCGCACACGCTCCGTGCCGCGGCCGCTGGGCCGCTCGGTTCCTGCGGGGCTGCGCGAGGTGAGCAGAGACAGGAGGACGGATTTAATAACGTGTGCTTGCAAGCGTGTACGAGAACATCCAGGAAGTGTTCTGCGTGTTTAATAACGAGAGTGAGTTGTCTGTAAACAAAAATAGATTTGGGGTGACGAAGATTACGGTTGCTTTTATTTGACTGGAAGTTTTCTGTGTTATGTTATGTGTATTTGTTTATGGCCACACACAGTCATACTAGTAACTTGCTGATTCCACACAAGTTTGTTGTAGCCTGAATTAGAAAATGTTATTGATATTTAAATAACCATTTGGGATGCTGCTAAGGCTCTCCTGTGCCAAATCCTCACAATAAAGTCATTTACTTATTTCACATTTACAGGCATGCATCCTAAGACAACAAGGAGCCTTGGCTGAAAACAGCAGAATGTGGTTTTAAGGTACTGTAATTAAGGGTAGACTGGGATGCCTTCTCCTCTGCTTCCTAACCACCCCCTGCCCTCAGCACACCAGCAGTCAGGCAGCTAGCTGCTTTCAGTAGGCTCACGTTTACCCCAGGTTTCCCTGCGTGGGTGCTGGGCTTCAGTGACCAGCCACTATGAGCTGAGAGCCTGTATCAGCCCTGTGGTAAGTGGCTTTTGACTGGGAATCCAGCAGACAGCCCTGGCGAAGTAAAGCATTAGTAAACAAGTATTTCGTCTTGTGAGGACATGCCAGACCTATCTACACTCATTGAAAGAGGGCAGATTTGTGAAACTCTGAAATACAGCTTCAGAGACAAGAACTTCTCTTTTATGTGAAATGTTAAAAACAAACAAAACCAAAACAGAAAAACAAAACAAAACAACAACAAAAAACACAACCAACCAACCAACCAACCAAAACAAACCCAAAAACAACCTGCACCACAACAAAAGATACACCCACAAACCCCACCCTGAATCCAGCACAAACTTAGGACAGACTTCCCTCTCTGTCTTCAGAGGACAGGGTCACTCACCTCTGATTGAGGAGCGAGACCCACCTCCCAGCTGAGCTGAGGCCATGCTGACATCCCCTAAAGCAGTGAGGTGCACAGTGGAAGTGGCAGGGTGTGTTTCCCAAGCAGACCTACTGGTATCACTGTTGTTGGCGCACGAGGTCAGATGAGTTTTGCAACAAAGGCATAGCAACCCCCTGGAGCAACACAAACTGTGTGAAGTTAAACTGGTTAAACGATGCTGCCAGTTCCTGCAGATGATGAGCTGCCTTTTCTTCCTCAGCCACTCTTAAGCTCAGGTGCAGCAACAAGAGCAAGGTCTCGGGTACTTGCAGTAGAGAAGTGCAGGAAAATGCACCCAGTGCAACATCAGCTAGCACCTTGTTAAAAGAGCAAGTACAGAAAAATCTGGGGTGAGGAGGGGGAAAGTTTCAAAGAAATTTGGAATGAAAAATAAGTTCATCCCTTCAGCTCTGAACTCTAGTCAATGCTATATCCAGTCAGACATGTCATGCAGGAACAGGGAGAAAGCAGGACCACTCCATGTAAGAGTAAACCTTCTGTCCTTTGGAGAATCCCAAAATGGAAGGTTCCTAAACAAAATCAGTGTGCGTTTCTGTGTTCATTGCCGATTCATTGCTGAATGATCTGAAATCAATTAGTGAAAATACCTTGACTGGCTTCAGAAGAGGGGGCTGCAAAGTTTTGCCTTTGGAAGCCACAGGGTCCAGGGAAAATCCAGAGACTTGCACGCACAAGGGGCCACTGAAGTGCAGCTTCTCTCTTGGTGTAAGTGGGGCTTTGGCAATTTACACCAACAATCTGTCCGTCATATGAAACCACGTGGCTCATAGGAACCACAGGAATCAGTAGGATTTTATGCGTGTAAGGCTCATTGACGTCAGTGCGAGTTGGACGGCCCAGCCCTGGAGTCTAGTATAATCAGCCAAATGAGGATCAAAGGCACAAAACACATGCAGAGCACTTCAGCACAAATATCTGAAAAGGGACCAGAAACATTTGAGTTTCATCTGTCAACATCTTCCTGAAGCACTAGCTATGTTTCCATCTTGCCTTACACCACCAGACCCTGCTGCCTCCAGACCCAGAGCTCCCATTGAGAGAAGACGAGCGACTCAGTTGTCCATGTAAAGGCTGGACATCAGACACAGTTTATCCCATCCTTAGGAAGGCTCTTAAAATTACCCACCAACATCAACTAACAGCAGTATTCCTTATTCATGTCAGTCTTGGAATCCTTGCCACAGTGGAAGAACGTTATGTTTGCCATGTTAGCCCAAAGGTGGAGCTGAGCTACAGGGAGGCTAAAGCAGAACCTTGGTTCTTCTTTCTCAGCCTGTCATCAGTGGGCACAAAGGATCTAATAGAGGAAGATGCTGTCTAGCATTGCTAAAATGTGCATCTCACACCTCCACCGTGTTTTTCAGTACAGAGGATGTTGTATGTAAGGCTACACGTTTCTCAGATTAATGTAAAGTCACTTGTCCCGCTGCACAACAGATTCCAATATTTTGTTCTTTCATAGTAGCGATGAGGCCAATTATAGCTCAGCTGTAATGGAAAGGTACAATACAATTGCTCCTACTTCTCAGTCAAATTTCCCAGAACCTGTCTCTCTCTCTCTGTCTCTCTGTCACAATTTAACTTTTAAATTGAGATTGTGTTTTTTAAACGAAAAAAAAATATCTAGAATCTTACTGAAATGGAACACGAGCTTTCTTTCAGCTAAGTTTCACGTGCCAAACTGTATTGGCTGTATGTTAAGCACTAGAAAGAACTGGTAACAAAACTGTTGTATATTAACATATGCCCCCTCCCCCCCAAAAAAAAATCACCAAAAAAACCCCCAAAGAACTCTACATCTCCTAATTACTGTGTGCAGTTCCCAGATCACCCATCAAGGAAAATATCTAGATTTATGCCTGTAGTTCCTTAGCAAAAATGACAAATGCCCTGAAACTTTGACTTTTTTAGCTACGCTCCTGTCTCGCCTGCATTCTGCAGTGACTGGAGGAGCACTGAAACTGGAACATCACCAAAGGCAGTGAAACAAAAACTGAGCAATTGAGACAGCCTTTCTCAGCTGGGCGCAAGGTGCTGCAGGACTGGAGCGGAGCCTGTGAGGCAGATGACAGCACTTAGGACCACCACAGAGGTAAGTCCGCGCTCCGTAGAGGCACCTGGGCACATGCTGTAACTGACTCAAACCCACAGATATTGTGATCTGCAGTTAAAAATGCAAGGCGGAAATTTGTTTAGCCTTTTAGTGTATGCTTTGGCTTGTTGCTTCGGAGGAGGAGTGTGCTTTTGTGACATCTCGTACATGGCTGTGTCTTACTGCTGCTTGGGCTGTTATTCCTGCATGCCTCTGGAAAGGGGCCTTGCACACTACAGATCATACGGGAGAGTTGTTTTCCTAAAAGCGGGAATAAACAGTCAGGAGATGAAATATTCCTAAGTAATGAGATTAGAGACAAGAACGTAACATGGGATGCGGCTTTCAACAGTAATTACATCTGACACCCTCATCAGCAAGAAGATGTAGGGGCTGCGAGCTCTGAGCTTGGGAACAGCATATGAAAGACTGGCTTCTCTTGGGAAGGGAGGCACAGGGGAGGTTATTTTTAGCACTCGGGGAAAAAAAAAAAAGCAAGAAAAAAAAGCAAGAATTTAAGCACTCTTTGGTTTGATCCCGTTCTTATGGAAGAGGTCGTACAGAAAGAGGTGGTGTGCAAGGAAAATAAGAAACGGGAGCAGAAACGGCGCTGACGACGGGGCAGCGGCTGCGCTCAACGCCATGGGCTGACTCAGGACAGAGAGAAGGAGCGAGGTCCGAGCGGGAGGGGAGCTGCGCGCAGGAGAGCCGCGCCGGGAAGCTGCGGGCAGAGCGGGCAGAAACTCCTGTCCGCGCCCGGCAGCCGCAGGGCCGAAGGGTCGGCAGCGGCGGGGCAGGTGCGGTGCGCTCCGCCGTCGGGGCCGCGCTGCAGTTGGCTCCTGTTCCACGGCGCGGCGCTGAGCCGGGCGCCGGCGGGGCAGGGGGCTCCGGGAGGAGCTCGGCGCCCTCGCCGCCCCCGGCCCGCTCCGGCCCCACCGAGGAGCTCTCGTCGGCCGCCGCGCGGCTCCGCGTTCGCGGAGGTATTTATAGATCAGACACTTTCCAAAAAAGCAGCGCCGCGCCCGCATTGCTCGGCGGCTCTTTCCATCCGTAATTGAGAGAGAAAAAAAAAAAGAAACAAGCTAGCGAAAAGGAGAAGCGGGGCTTTGCGAGCGCGACGCTCTCCGGACCCGGCGCTCCGCGGTCACAGGCTGCTAAGAAAGTGAGCGGGGTCCGGCGGGGCCGCCCCGGGACCTCCTCTGCTTTCCGAGCTTTAATTTTTCCGGAACGAGCCCTAAAAAGGGCAGCGGGGCGGGGCCGGATCTTCGCCTTT